TTAAAATCAAATTGCTGTGGTGTTAGTTTTGAGTGTTTTTACCGATTACAGGACAAGAAAAGCTAATGGGTCGACATCCCTGGTGAGTTACATGAACAAGAATCCGAGTTATCGGGCTAAATTTTTATCAAGGGAAACGAAATTTAGTTCGAGTTAGCGGGGAATTCGAGTTAACCGAGTTAAAGTGACTGAAAAGTAGGGTCAAATCCGTGAAAAATGGGACTAGGTTCAAGTTAGCGGGGAATTCGAGTTATCCGAGTGCGAGTTACCGAGGTTCTGCTCTACTTCGCTGTGACTTTTTTGTCGCCCTTTTTCCGATTTCATGCCAAAGGAGCTCTTCCAAATTACATTCCTAATTTACGTAGCGGCAATGGAAATCGAGAGGCCTTGATAGAGGGTTACTTCTGTCTTGGTTTTTTTTTAGCTACTGGGAAGTGCTCTCATTTCTGCTGGTATGTCATGCCATTCGATTAACTTTAAGGCACCTCAAAAGGATCCTCAGAATTCGTGGACTACGCCGGATAAATATCCGTTCAAATATCAAGCCGGGGAAGGAGATTCTCGCCCATATCAACTTTCTTTTCTGTCGTAAGTTCTTGCACGTTTAGAGATACGCCACAATCGCGTTTTAGGTGCAGCGATCCCAACCAATGCTTACCTAACTTTTTAAAGATGCTACTTTTAGCCATCCCCGAAATGCACACAAGTGTATTTCACTTGTGGAAAACTATCGATTTGAAACACTGTTTGGGTTGGAGATTCTCGCCCATATCAACTTTCTTTTCTCTCGTAAGTTCTCGCGCATTTAGAGATGCGCCACACTCGAGTTTTAGGTGCGGGGATCCCAACCAATACTTACTTAACCTTTTAAAGATGCTACTTTTAGCCCTCCCCAAAATTTACACACGTGTATTTCACTTGTGGACGTCTATCGATTTGGAGAGTGCTTGGGTAAGAGATTCTCGCCCCTATTAACTTTCTTTTCTCTTGTAAGTTCTCCCGCTTATAGAGATGCGCCACACACGCGTTTAAGGTGCGAGGATCCCAACCAATGCTTACCTAACCTTTAAAAGATGCTACTTTTAGTTCTCCCCCAAATCCACACACGTGTATTTCACTTGTGGAAGTCTATCGTTTTGGACAGTGTTTGGGTGAGAGATTCTCGCCCTTATCAACTTTCTTTTCTCTCGCAAGTTCTCGCGCGCTTAGAGATGCGCCAAAATTGCATTTTAAGTGCACGGATCCTAACCAATGCTTACCTAACTTTTTAAAGATCCTACTTTTAGTCCTCTACCAAATCTACACACGTGTATTTCACTTGTGGAAGTGTTTCGATTTGGACAGTGCTTCGGTGAGAGATTCTCGCCCATATCAACTTTCTTTTCTTTAGTAAGTTCTCGCGCGTTTAGAGATGCGCCACACTCGC